GGTGGGGCTGGGTGCTGCCCGGTGGGATGAGGTGTGCAGTGGGTGAGGCCCTGGGATGGCGCCTCTGTTCCTCTCCCATTTCCTCCTGTGCCATTGCCTTTCCTGTAGAGCATTTATCACCAGCCCCAGGCATTCCCTGACCCCAGCTAGACTCAGGGTGTCACTGAACTTGAGTCACAACCTGTACCCCAAGAAGTCAAGTTCCTTGAGAAGCCAATTAAAACAGACAAATTGATAATAGGAAGGAGATTTATTCACTGTGGCCCCTTTGGGAACTGGACAAATAGATGCAGTGACTCCTCTAATCCATCTTCGGGATCCTGAAGTGAGACTGCAGTGTAAACAGAGGGCTAACAATACGCATTTCTGAGCAGTCCAAGACGTGGTGCAGCCCACCACTGACCCATCACGGTCTGGGCTCCAGTCTCCACTGTAAGGTGGTCTGACCAGCTCTTAGAATTGTCGGAAATCTCTTTCCGGAGACAGGTTACCCCTCTGGTCGGCACCTTTTCCTTCCCTCGGCACGAGGTTCCTGGGGTGTGAGGGGGTGGGGGTTCCCATTTCCTTGGGGTCTATTGTTCCAATAATCTGACAGACATTAGTGTCTCTTTAGCACAGCTTCCTTTTGCCTGTTGGTGGTGCATACCTTAAGCAGACAAAAACACTAACCAGGGACACCCACTGAACCATCTCCCCAGACCCTAGCTGGTCCACTTTCTAGGTCTGGACTAGCTGTAAAAGGGGAGCCAGGTGTCAAGGGACCAAGAAGCTCCATGTAGGACAGAGGTGTCTTCCTTATCCGTTGCCCAGTCACAGCCCTGGTAACATTGCCGGTGCTGGCTGTGGGGATAATTACGGCAGCTGGTGTAGCAGAAGACAACCCTGCCCCATGACGTCTGCCGTCAAAGAGGCCATGGGAGTAGAAGACTAGCCCAACATGCGTAGTTGCTGGGGAGCAGAGACCCAGAGGCTGAGAGAGAGGAACAGAGAGAGGTAAACGGCCCATCTGCCACGCACTGACCAGCTGCACCCTCAGGTACGTGGTGCGCCTTGGAGAGCACAGCCTCAGCAAGCTGGACTGGACGGAGCAACTGAGGCTCACCACCTTCTCCATGACACACCCCAGCTACCAGGGTGCCCATCGGAACCATGAGCATGATCTTCGACTCCTGCGGCTGGGCAGACCGGTCCGCCTGACCCATGCGGTCCGGCCCCTGGCCCTGCCCACTTCCTGTGCACCTATGGGGACCAGATGTCATATTTCAGGATGGGGTACCACAAACAAGCCATGGGGTAAGAGGGTCCTGAGGTTGGGGGTGAGGGATGTAGGGTAAGAGATCAAGTTGTTCACTTTAAGAAAGCAGGGTCAAGGGTCATGGTAAGGTGGGTCTTTAGAGTCACAGAGGTTAAGGGATTGAGTATGGAGTCAGAAGCCAGGGGTCAGAGCTGTGATCAGAGGTCAGAGTAATGCCAGGGGTCATCAGGGCATCTGATTCATGGGCTCAGGTGTTAGAGGTCATTACAGAGTTGGTATTGCTGGGCCTCCAATCCTAGGTACCTTAGGCTGAGGTAAGAGGGCAGAAAGTTCAAGGTCAGCCTATGTTATAGAATAAGAGCCTGTCTCAAAATAAAAAGTAAAAATGTCTGTAGATGTGGCTCAGTGGTAGAGTCCTTAGGTCCTAAATTCCATCCCTACCAGGGGTGGGAAGCTGAGGTCACTGGATCACAATCTAGTCAGAATCTTCCTCATGTCATATTTGGAAGTCATGGGGTTTGGGCCAGGGTTTCTGTGGCATGGAATTTGGGGTCAAATGACCTGAAATCGGAAGACTTTTTTTTTTTGAGTTAAGATGAAGTAAGTGAACATTTGCACGATGTGGAACTGAGATCTGAGGTTAAAGTGAAACTAAGGACATGGCTTCAGGAGATGGAAGACATGAAGTGAGGCTGGGATCAAGAGCTAATGACGTCAAAGGTCAAAGGACCAGGCCTGCGGCCTGGGGACAAGGGTGACCATGGGACTGAGTCACGAAACTGAGAATATTTAGGATTGCAGTGAAGTTGAGTGGAGGGTATAAATTTGGATCAAATGTCCTTGGGACGAATGTAGCCCCATAGTAGGGATCTCAGAGGGTCTCCATCACCGATATCACCCATCTTCCACGCCCAGAACCATTCCCGGACCGGCTCCAATGCCTCAACCTCTCCATCGTCTCCAATGGCACGTGCCAAGCCGTGTTCCCTGGAAGAGTGACGGAGAATATGGTGTGTGCAGGTGGTGAAGCCGGGAAGGATGCCTGCCAGGTGAATCAACTCGGGGTGGTGAGGACCCCAGGGGACAGAAAGCAGGCGCTGGAGAAAAGAAAGGAAGAAAGCTTTCAGAGGGGGAGGGCTCGGCAGGGACGCTGAGGTAGACCAGGGGTGGAGTAAGGAGGTTAGTAGAGTTCCTAACGCTGTGAACGGACAGACAGAGGCAACAACATGGCGTGAGGAGTGTTCAGGCCAGAGACGGAGAGCATGATGGGACCTGAAGAGGAATCAGAATCCACATGGAAAGAAGAGGGTGTTCCTTTGTATGCTTTTCTGAGAGTGGGGAAGGTTTCACAGCAAGCCCCTGCAGGCAGGCTCTCTGGTTCCCAGGCAGGAGGCCGGGGAGGGGTGGGGAAGACAGCAGCAGGTATGGCTACCAATACTCACTTGACATAAACTCACTTCCCAGGTGAGAGCTCCTGGTACCTGGAACTCTGCTAGCTAGGGACTGGAAGGCAGGATCTTTGTAGAGTGCCTGTCGGTGTCTGTGACGGGGGCAAGAGGAGGCCTGCTGCCTCGGGCTGCGGCTAGATTCCGACCTCACACTCTCCAGAAGTGAGGAAAAGCCCCAGACCTGGGAGGTGCGAAGTGAAGGAATTAGGTGGAGAGATGTGACTAGAAAGGAGGGGAGATTCGGCCAAGGGGGGAAGAGACAGGGGGTAGGGGGAGGAGCCCAGCATGGAGGAGCAGGAGGGGGAGGAAAGGAGGAAGGAACAGGAGGCTGAAAAGAGGGAGGGGAAAATAGGCAAGCAGTGGAGGGCAGAGAACTAGCCAGGATGACATATTCCAGGACGCCCTTCCTGGTACTCCAGGGCTTCCTCATATCATCAGTGAGCTGGGGCTACGCCATGTTAAGAGAAAGAGGGATTGGGTAAAGAAGGTCACAAAACCAGCTGTGCCAACGTGTGGTATGATGCTCTTGGGCACCTTAGAGGAGGTATCATAGCGCCCAGAGACCAACAAACCCCCTCAGAGTACTCTCTACTCTCATAGCCCAGCCCTCCTCTCCTGGGGTTAGGCGTAGAAGATAGCATTCTCTTCACTCATTGGCCAAAACCAGTCAGGGTGGCATCTTCTTTGCTATTGGCTAGCTGTTACAATGTTCTTCCTGTGAGTTGGCTGTGCTCCGTCTCCCAGGACCTGGCTTGGAGCCACTCTCTTTAAGAACTGTCTCTCTGTCTTCTAGGGTGACTCAGGAGGCCCCCTGGTGTGTGGAGGAGTTCTTCAAGGTCTAGTTTCCTGGGGATCTGTTGGGCCTTGCGGACAAAAGGGCATTCCAGGGGTCTATACCAGGATCTGCAAATATGTGGGCTGGATCAGAACAGTCATCAGGAACAACTAATGGGCTTCCCCGTCTCCATGTGGTTCTGCGCGTAGGGCCTCTCGGACCCTCGAAGCACCAATGTCTCCTCCCTCACCACTCCAAGCTCCACCCTTGCTGGTGCAGGGAACCTCTTGAAACCTCAGGGGTGTAGAGGGGACTGTGAAACTCTGGAATAAATGTTATACAACCAAGGGCTGCACCTGTCTGTTTAACATGCAGTTTAAGCCTGGAGGGAACCGGAAAGGGTGGGCATTTTTGCTGGACTTGGTTGCATAGGTCTGTGATCTTGGTACTCAGGAGAAAGAGGTAAAGAGGATCAGGAGCTCAAGATCATCCTGGAATACACAGTGAGTTTGAGGCAATTCTGGGCTTCATGAGACCCCGCCTCAAAAACAAACAGGCCAGGCATGGTGGAGGTCTTTAGCCTTCACACTTGGCAGGCTGATCTCTGCGTTTGAGGCCAGACTGGTCTACAGAGTGAGGTCTAGGCCAGCCAGAGCTACACAGTGAGAATCTGTTTCAAAATCAAAGCTTTTGGTCTTAATTTTTTAATTGTTATTATCTTTATCTTCTGGTTATGGGTGTTTTCCTGTATGCATGTCTATGCACCACACACATGTATACCTGGAGCCCACTGAAGCCAGAAGAGGACGTTGGATCCCCTGGGACTGAAGTTACACACGATTGTGAGCCACTGTGTGAGTGCTGGGAATTGAACCAAGATCCTCTAGGAAAAGCAGCCAGTACTCTTACCCGCTCAATCATTTCTCCATTTCTGGCTTTCTAATGAACTGGATAGAAATGGCCGGAATGGGGGTGGTGTGACACCTGACCGCACCACGGCTTTCATATGCTCTGTTTGAGATGGGATGCCAGTCTGTTTTCTTATGTCAGAGATAGCCCAGGGTGAGTCTGGGGACAAGACAACCCAGCTGGAGTATCACAAGGCTATGCCTACCCATAGGTCCTGTCTCCACATTCTCTTCAGAAGACAAAAAAGAAGGCCTTACTCAAAAATGCCTAAGAGGGGACCTGGTGTGCTGACCCAGAAGCACAGGGATGACCTTTCCCAGCATCCTCTTGGTATTTCATCCCCCACTCCACCCCAAGGCAGGGCCGGCACCCCCATGTCACAGATTAGGGAACTGAACTTCCCTGGGGTGGAGCCGCCCGTCCCACGTCACCTGGATAGGAAGAGGCAGAGCCCGTAGGGTTTGAGGCCACGGTTGGCTGCCGGCAGAGCCTGGGCCTACTCCGCCTTGTCCCACATCTGGTTAGGGGAGAGAGGAGAGGAAGGCCCAGGGAAGAAAGATCTGAATGAAAACATAAGCTGGGAGAAGAGAGGCTTCGAACCTGGGGCTACCCGATGAGGAGGCCCAGGAGGCTGAAGAGTGACTGGAAATTATCTACAGTACCCAGTAAGTGCTGGAGGCCTGGGCAGTGGAGGCTTGGGGCAGGAGGGAAGGGTCAGCAGAGAATGGAGGCCCACACGGGAGCCCTGGGGCCCCTGGCACACCTGCTGAGGTTTCTTTCTCCTTTCTTGAGCCATGGCTCTCACAGGCCCTGACCTGCCTCCCCCACCATCCTGCCCTGCCCCTTCAGCTAGCAAGCTGCCCCACCTCTGCGACGCCCCAGATTCCCCCCTTCTCTCTTTGGAAAGGAGAAGAGAGGGTCCAGAGGAGGACAAGAGCCCACTGGGCCCAGGCTCTGAGGAGGGAGAGGCAGAGATGGAGGCCTGAAAGAGGAGACAGAGACAGGCAGAGGGAGGCCTGGAAGGGATGGTACAGGACAAAGAGCCGAGACAAGAGGAGACAAGGATCCAAAGACATGCAGGGGCAGAAGCCTAGTGGCAGGGAGACCAAAATCACACACACAGTTCTACAGGATGGGAGAGCCCGGGTGCGGAGGCCGAGACTCCGAAACCTGCTGGAAAGGAAGGAGAAGTGGCCACAGGGGAGAGGGGGCTTGGAGAGGTGACAGCCTGTCTCCCAGACCCCAAGGCTGCCTTGGGAGGGCGCCCTCACACCCCTCCCCCAGGGTGATAGAGCAGGGCTAGAAGCCCAGTCATTCCAGGCCCGCCTGGGGCCAACCCCTTGCCTGCCTGCCTGGTGCTCAGACCCAGCCTGCTGCAGCTGCCACCCTGGGCTCGAAAGAGCCCCATCCCCAGGGGCCAGGAGTGAGTCCAGGAGGGAAGGGGGGTCTCCTCCACCCCCACCCATTCCAGGAGACTGCCGTCCTAGGAGCTAGGCTTTTTCCGTCCCAGAATGCATTCCCCCCTCGGATCTGTCCTTGGAGGATAGGAAGGTACTTGAGACCACGCTCTGCGTCTGTCTCTTTGTATCTCTCACTTTCAAACTGCTGCCCCCAAACCCAATAACCTCTGTCCCTAGTTTAGGTGGCTAAGTCCTGTCCTTCTCTCCCACCCCCGCCCGCCAGGGCAGCTGTAGGCACTGGCTGTCCCTTGGCCAACTCCACCCAGCCCTGTCCATCACAGGGGTTCAGCAAGGTGGAGGGAGGGACTTCACCGGTTGCTGAAAGACCCCACAGGCCCCTATCATTGCTGTTGGAACAACAAAAATGAGGCCCTTACCCAGTAGGTAACCCCTTCTCTTTGTCCCCCCATCACTTGGAGTTGTGGAGCAGGCCAGGTTCTCAGGGGAGTGAGAAGAGAAATATTCTCTAAGGTTTCCCCAGGGGGCCTTTCTCCTCCACTGGCAGCTTAAAACCGAGTGGGCGCAAGAGCCTTGTCCAACAGCGCCCCTCCCGCAGCTTTGGTGTGCCCCTCAACACCCAGGAAGCTGCCAGCCAGGACTCAAGCCTCTGTCCGAGGTCACTCCAGAAGCATAAGATTCTTCTTACAGGCTTGCGGGGTGTGTGAGAATCAGGAGGTTCCCTTGGGAGAAGGAGGCAGGTGGTCAGGGAGGCAGCGAGCCACCGCAGGTGAGGGCAGAGGAAACCACAAGCCGTCCAATCTCCTCTTAGAGTGATTAGGCCTTCCTCCTTGTCCCAGGGGAACCTGGAGCCTGCCCTGCTCTCCTCCAGGCCATGATGATCCTCCGACTCATCGCACTTGCTCTGGTGACAGGTACAGTGGGGCTCGAGGAAGGTGTGGGGCCTCCCTCTCCTGCTTCTAAGTCCCCTCCCCTACAGCCCAGGCGGTACCTGCTTGGAGATCACTGTGAGCTGGTCTTAGCTACACCAGGCATGGTCAAGTGGGTCTCAGAGGAGGAAGAGGGGAGCTGGGTCACTTGCAAAGCCAGTGCATGCCAGCTGAGAATGAGAACAATTTGCTCCTCCCCACCTCATTTCTGGGGGTCCCTCTACCAGCCCACCTCCTCTTATGCTTACACCTCATCTTCTACCCCATCCAGGGCACGTAGGGGGAGAGACAAGGATCATCAAGGGTTACGAGTGCGCCCCTCATTCCCAGCCGTGGCAGGTGGCCCTCTTTCAGAAGACTCGACTTCTCTGTGGGGCAACCCTCATCGCCCCCAAATGGCTCCTGACTGCAGCCCACTGCCGCAAGCCGTGGGTGCGGGGGCTGGGGCGGGGCTGGGAGGGGGTTGGAGATGGAGAGATGGATGGAGAGAAGGGCTGGGGCTAGAGAGAACATTGGGGGGTAGCAGAAGTGGGTGGAGAGATTGGGGATGGTGTGGCATCAGCATGGATGATGAGAGTGTGGAGAAGACTGGAGAGGGAAAGGTAGCGGTAGTGTGTGTGATGGGATTTAGTTGGGAATGAAGATGGGGACGGGGATGGAGTGGTGTTCGTTTGTGCAATGAAGATGTAGTTGGGTTGATGACAGAGGGATGAAGTGGCCTTAATGCGGGTGATGGTAGTCTAGTCAGGACGAGGATGGAGGGGTGAGTGATGCTGGAAGTGGGGTGGGGCTGGGTGTTCACAAGGTACCATTCATCATCTCTCCCTCCCGACCCCTGCCCTGTCCCCCTACCTTTCCACCTCTGACCACACCTCTCCCACCTCAGCCGTTACGTGATCCTCCTTGGGGAGCACAATCTGGAGAAGACAGACGGCTATGAGCAGAAGCGGATGGCCACTGAGTCCTTCCCCCACCCTGGCTTCAACAATAGCCTCCCCAACAAGGACCACCGGAATGACATCATGCTGGTGAAGATGTCCTCTCCCGCCATCATCACGCGAGCTGTGCAGCCACTCACCCTGTCCTCACACTGCGTCACCGCGGGCACCAGCTGCCTCATTTCCGGATGGGGCACTACGTCCAGCCCCCAGTGTAGGGGCTCCCAAGGGAAATGTGATCAGGGTGGAATGTGGGATTTGGGGAATGGAGACCAGATGAATCTTCAGAGATAAAGATCAGAGTCACTCAAGAGGCATGGTTACCTTAGGCTGTCAAGAGAGGGATGAGCTGAAAGGGAGATGGAAAATTCTGGGAGACTCACTTTGGGGCCTCAAAAGTGAGACAGATGTGATTCCCAAATCTGTAGCTTTCTAGTTGTGGGATCTAAGGCAGATGGCTTTACCTCTCTGAACTTTGGTTTTCTCTGTAAAAAGAGTAATCACACCCACCTGTCACAGTGGGGTCGGAGACAACGCACAGGGAGCAAGCAGAATGGGGAACTTACTCACAGCATTGCTGTTGCTATAGTTACAGGCAGAGGGATGGGTGGGGGCAAGGACTGTCCCAGGGGCTGGCCACTGTGGTGAGGTTGGAGACTCAGGTGCTCAGGCTCACACCCTCCACTGCTGTCCCCACAGTGCGCCTGCCTCATTCCTTGCGATGTGCCAACGTCTCCATCATCGAACACAAGGAGTGTGAGAGCGCCTACCCGGGCAACATCACAGAAACCATGCTGTGCGCCAGCGTTCGGAAAGAGGGCAAGGATTCCTGCCAGGTCAGCAGGCTGCTTCTCCAGCCACGTACTCATTCCCAACCTCAATCACATCTTTACTGACATCCCCAGCCCTGACCCCAACCATCTCCAACCCCAGCTGCCATTTCCGACGTCAACACAATCCATCTTCCCATGCTAATCCTCGTCTCTAACTCCAGCCACCCACGACGTTCCTCTGGACTCTAGCCCTATGTGTATTCTCACCAGAATTCCAACTTCATCTCCCAACCTCTCACTAGTTCCACTGCCGAATTCTTCCTTGGCCTGCCTCCCACCTCCACCACTGTCCTCACTCCCATCACAAGCCCCCCCACTTGACTCTAACTGATTGTGTCTCCTCTCATGCCAGGGTGACTCTGGAGGCCCTCTGGTCTGTAACAGATCTCTACAAGGCATCATCTCCTGGGGTCAGGACCCATGTGCAGTCACCAGGAAGCCTGGTGTCTATACAAAAGTCTGCAAATATATTGACTGGATCTACGAGACTATGAGAAACAACTAGAGGGGACCCAACCCCTCCAACCTCTTCTTAATGCTTTGACTTCTGTTCATTCTCCCCTAAGAACCCCTCAGCTGGGACCCTTGCATGCACTCTCTCCGACCCACCATGGATATAGTATAGGGGATGCTCTGACCTGATGATCAACTTGGGGCTTGGAACAAATCCTGGCTTGACCTGAGTTGTGACTCTGGACATGATCATCACTGGCTTTGTTTGTTTGTTTTTTGTTGTTTTGTCCCTGGCCCTGAAGGAAGTCCGTGGCATATTCCAGGGTTCCAATAAATATTTGTTAAATGATAAAATGGTTCTAATTCAGTATCAACTGCATTCAAATCCTGATCCAGAGGGTTTTTAAATGATGTGTGTGTATTGAGTCTTTGCCTGCATGTATGTATGCGCACCACATGCCTGCTTAGTGCCTGAGGAGTCCAGAAGAGGGCGTCAGGTGTCCTGGCAACTGTATGGGTGCTGGGAACCAAAGCCAGGTCCTCGGCAAGAGCAGCAAGTCCTCTGAACTTCGGAGTCTCCTCAGCTCCCCAGAGCATTTAAATGTTACTAACCAACTAAATGTTCACAACCCCCAGGGAGACTGGTCCTCTTTTCCTATCCACTTTCCAGACAGGAAAGTGGGCACAGACAGATGACCGCATTTGCTCACAGCCATACATCGGAGAAGTGAAAGATTGGAGGATTTAAAAGCGCAGCAACAGTCTTAGCTATCAAAGCAATGTCACATTACAGCTCAGTTCATTTCCTTTTTATATTACTTACTTTTTTTTTTACATTTACTCATTCATTTATCAGAGGGTGCTCATGCCATGGCACACATGTGCAAGTGTGCAGACTGCAGGAGCCAGTCCTCTCCTTCCACTATGAGGGTCCCAGGATCAAACACAGGCTGTCAGGCTGGGCAGCAAGCACCTTTGCCCACCAGGCCACCTTACAGGCTGGGCGGAAAGAACTCAGTTCAGCTCCTTCCCGGCACTCAGTTCATCTAGCTGCAGGAAAAACTGCACATGCGAAAGTGTAATAAGAGTGAGTGCGTCTGAATCAGGGAGTGAGAGGCAGTAAAGAAGGCGACCATCATTTTCAAACTGCCCGGATTCAGTTCACGGAGGTCAGTACTGAGTGGCATCATACCTGCTAGTCAAAATCAAGTCAGAGGACAAGGAAGCATGCCTCAAATGGCATGTTTCGAACGCTCTGCAGCTGCACGTGCCTGGTGGCTGCTAGAACACAGCTGCTGTAGCAAAAACTCTGGACAAGGCTAAGTGGGGCAAAAGACGCCCAGATAACACGGACGTTCTACTCAGCTCTTGGAGAGAGATCGCCGGCACAAGGAAGAACTCAGAGCTGGAACTATATAGAACCTTCTGGTTGTTAGGCGGACTTGCTTGCTGTGTGACCTCTTATGAGTCACAACCCTCTCTGAGCCTCCCATTCCTCACCCAAAATGAGGGTGTTAGCCGAGGTGATGTGGCCTGTCCCTTGCAGCCTGGGCCTCCTATGATTCACCAGCTTGTGTGTCACCTGGAGCCATGTAAGGAGGGTGCAAGATGCTCACACACAGGTTTAGTGCAAAGCTACAGACTCCCACCCCCACCCCACCCCCAAGCACACCCTGAGGCACAAGGAGCCTACTGTTTCTTGGTTTAGACCTCTGGGAGTTTGTCTTTGTCCTTCCCACTCTTCCCTTCCACCACCTGAACTCTGCCCACCCCCTTCCCTTCCGCATTCCGACACCTGTCAGCACCTACTCTCTCCCTTTTCATCTCCCCATCCCATCACCCCAGGCTCTCCGAAGACTGGACGCCCCCCCCCTCCCCACACACACACACCTGGGAACGCTTCTCAGAACCGGGCATGGGGGGAACCCCCAAGGAAGCCGGCTCCAAAAGGTGTTCCTGTCACCGGCAGAAGCCTGTATTCCAGGGCCCCTCCCGGAGCAGGAATCTGGGGCCCTGGTTGAGTGCCAGCCCCACCCACGTTATAATTAGGGAGAGGGAAAGAGAGGGAGTGAATCCCTGAGGGGAGGGTGGGGGAAGCTTCCGGGATCTTGGGGGTTAAAAGGGAAGGTCTGGCCAGGGGTCCCTGGTCAGAGGACTGTTTGCAGCCCACACTGCAGGGCAAGAGACACTTCTGACTTTCCTCCCCTCTTCCCACTGGCGACTCCCAGGTGAAGTGGGATGCACCCCACCCTGGTTGGGGTGGATGGCGAGAGGATGGGTGGGGACCCTCGGGCAACGGGGCAGCAACCTTTCTGTAGCCCTGATTTCCCTGTAACATGGGGAAGTCCCTCAGCTCTGAGGTTAGGAAGAGGCTCCCACGGGCTCTAAGCGGGACCCCCACCCACCCACGAAGGAGCGTGGACCTGGAGCTCAGCCTGGCTGGTGGCCAAGAAAGGCTGGGGCACAAATCGCTCCCTTCTGGAGAAGCGAGGACTGAAGTCCCGAGCGCCCCTGGAGAGGGTCCCGCTGAGGTGGCCCAGGCACTCCGAGGCAGGGGTCTTGACTGAACATCTGTTTTAGCCCTCCACTCCGGCCTCTGCAAGCCAGTGTCAGCCATGAGGGCCCCGCTCCTCTACTTCTCCACTGCCTCTAGCACCTTGGCCCTAGTGAAGCTGTTGCTGCCGCTACTGATGACGCAACTCTGGGGTGAGCCTGGGGCCGGGGGCAACGGGAGGGAAGGACCAGGACCGGAGGGGCAGGGGTATGGTCGCTGCAACCATACTCAGCTCGCCCTCCTGGGGGCCGGGCACCCACAGAGCCATTCCAAGAAAGATCCATCCTCCAGTGGGCTCTTGGCCCCAGGTGCCGCGCCCCACCGGAACAGAACCCAGCCCCTTCGCTCCATCAGCTTCTCTGCCTCTCCTGCTTTGCATGCTTTCTCCTCACCCCTTGCAGACCCATTGCATCCCTGCCTATTCCTAAACGAGGTCCTCTAGTCTGCTGTGCCTCTTCCCATCCTTGGACTAGACCTACCCTTCCCTCCTTCAGATCCCTTTCCACCTGCTTAGTGCTTCACAGCGTTCTGTCCCACTGTCCCACTGAGTCCCTGTCTCCTGTTACTCACTGCCCCCTCCGAACGTGTCCTGTCTCCTGCTCCTCACTGCCCGCACTGTGTTCCTGTCTCCAGCTCCTCACTGTAACACTGTCGCCGCCCCTCACTGCTCCGCTGTGCTGTCTTCCTTTTACCGCCCCACTGTATTCTGTCCTTACAACCCAACTGATTTCCGTCTCTGCTCCTCTCTGCACCCCGCCCCTTTCCAACCACAGTCCTGGGCTTGCATCTGGTCTCTGCCCCGCAGGGTAAAGCCCTGCCTTTCCTACACACGGTCTCCCCCAGGCCCTCCTCCATCCTCAGTCCTGGGGTGTCTTCGTCCCATTCCGTTCTAACCCCTCTTGCCCTTTCACGCCTCTCTGCAGCCAGTTCATAGGGTTCCCTAATTATCCCACGGTTCACGATCCAGCTGCGCCCCCTACAGGCCAATCCTGTGAAGCTCGCCACTGACCCGGTACCCAGCCCCGGCCAGGCGAGCCCTGATCCCCGGCCCCCTGCTTCTCTACCCAGCCGCGCAGGCGCTGTTGCTCCCGGGAAACACCACGCGCGGGGACCTTGAGGCGTCTAGCGTCCGCTGCACGCGTGACTCGCAGCCCTGGCAGGTCTCCCTCTTCCATAACCTCCAGTTCCAATGCGCGGGTGTCCTCGTGGACCGGAGCTGGGTGCTCACGGCCGCACACTGCTGGAGAAAGAAGTAAGGGATGCCCCAGAGGCAGCCACGGAAGGGCGGGGAGGATGGGGCTCCGGCACTCGCCCAGCTCCGGTCGGGTTAGGGGCAGCTGCCATTCTACAAAAAGAGGCAGGATTCGAGCCGCACCGCCAGAGGATTCCGTGGGCCCATCGCACCTGTCAGCAGAAATCAGGGCCTGTCACAGTCAGTATTTAAGACAAACAAAACCAAAAAAACCTGTAGTTCCCTCATACGCCTGTCACGCAGGGAGAAAGGACCAGGTGACTAGGAGAAAGGAGAGGTGGGCATACTCAGAGAGTTGAGATGTCAGCCATTAACCCTCAAATTTCTACTCTCTTCCCTCAGACCAAGGGGTTCAAGTCCCCAACCCTCCTCCCTCAGACCCAGACTCAGGATTCCAGGCTCCAGCCTCTTTCATCAGAGGCAGGGGTTCAGACCCTAGCCTTCTGCCTCAGTCCCAAGGGACCAGCCATAGCTTCTCTCCCAGATTTCTCTCATCTCAGGAGCCCCACTTCACTTCCAGACCCTCTGACCCGAGGACTGAGAGCAGGCTCTGTCTTCATGAAGTCTTTTTCTCTATCTGACTCTTCCTCCCTCTCCCCCAGGCCACTGAGGGCTCGAATTGGGGATGACCACCTGCTGCTTTTCCAAAAGGAGCAGCTTCGGTCCACGAAATCCCCCGTTTTCCACCCCAAGTACCAGCCTTGCTCAGGCCCCATCCTGCCACACCGCTCAGATGAACACGACCTCATGATGCTGAAGCTGAGCAGTCCTGTCGTGCTAACACCCAGCGTGCATCCTGTGCAACTGCCCTTCCGATGCGCCCAGCCAGGGCAGGAGTGCCAGGTCGCAGGCTGGGGGACCACAGCCGCCCGCAGAGGCAAGAACTGGACTGAAGGAGTGTACTTTAAGGGAGGAGGGCTGGACTCCTGGGTTTGAGGGAGGAGGCTGGGGCTGGGACCCTGATTCTGAGGGAGGAGGCTTAGGGAGGACCCTAAGGGTCTGAACAGCTGTGTCTAGGGTGGATGAGTGGGGTTAGGTCCCCTGGGGTGTGCAGGAGGAAGGCTTGGGGCTGGACGCCCGGGTCTGGAGGAGAGGGCTGACTGGTCCCTGTGTGACTGGCCTGTTCTTCTCAGTCAAGTACAACAGGAGCCTGAGCTGCTCCAGGGTAACTCTCCTTAGCCAGAAGCAGTGTGAGGTCTTCTACCCGGGCGTGATCACCAACAACATGATTTGTGCTGGGCTGGACAGAAACCAGGACTCTTGCCAGGTAAGGACGGGCCAAGAAGCATGTCTGTCTCCTGCATAGCAGGGCAGAACAGTGAAGAGCTGGCTCTGCTGGCTCTGTCTTCCCTCACTTCCCTCCAGAGTCACTCCTAACCCTTTCCCAACCTACTTCCTCCCTCAATCCATTTCTCACCCTACCAACCTCTATCCTTGATCCTTCTCGGTCCCTCCCCCTGATGAGCCACAGTTCCAAATGCAAACCCGTCACATCTCTGCTCTCTCTTCCCAACTCTGCATCGCCTTACCACCCCAACTTGTAACACG